CCCCCCGCCGCTGCCTTCCCGTCACCCCCTCCGACCGCCGCCGCCGCCGCCCCCGCTGTCGCCGCCGCTTTCTCCTCCAACGGTTTCTTGGGGTGCTGGATGTACTTGAAGGTCTTGGCGTTCTCTAGCAGAAGGCCGGGGTAAAGGGCATCCGTGGTGCACGCCTCGGCTTCAAGCTTCCCCGCCGCCTACTCGCACGACCAGCGACAAGCATGTCGAGGGAAAAACAACGGAATGCCGGGCGGTTGCGGGTGCTGGGCATGATAGTAGGTGGGGTCGGAATCGGCAGTATTTTCTTGCTGCGGGTATGGGCTCAGTGGGAGATGCAACGTCCAGCAGCGAGAGCTTAGCGTATGAGTACCTTATTTGGACCACTCTGTGAACACGAACGTCTTGTCGGGTGAACAAACAAGAAATATGAGGTACAGTTCTCGTGCGAACAAAAACCAAACCAAGAAGCTAAGGACAGGAGGAGGAGGACATGTCGAAGTGGTTTGCGGGCGGGGCGATAAAGAAACAAGAGATGGAAGCATCGAGTATAACACGTAGGTGTACATGGGAGATGGGATCACAAAACGACAGGTCCACTGTACGCGAGCTTCGCTAGAAACACCCTCGGAGATCAGGTGCACCATGAGGTCAAGGCTCGACTCTTTTTTTTTCCTGTATGCAGTTGTCTATTCTTTGCCTTTGCAACAAGAGAAATTCAAGGAACGACGTGTACCTTCGCGTCCCGTGTTTCCTTGGTCAAGAACATCAAAGCTATCCCTCGTCTATGCAACTGTCTATTCTTCGTCTTTGCAACAAGAGAAATTCAAGGAACGACGTGTACCTTCGCGTCCCGTGTTTCCTTGGTCAAGAACATCAAAGCTATCTCTCGTCTATGCAACTGTCTATTCTTCGTCTTAGCAACAAAATGAATTCAAGGAACGACGTGTACCTTCGCGTCCCGTGTTTCCTTGGTCAAGAACATCAAAGCTATCTCTCGTCTATGCAACTGTCTATTCATTGCCTTTGCAACAAGAGAAATTCAAGGAACGACGTGTACCTTCGCGTACCGTGTGTCTTTGGTCAAGAACATCAAAGCTATCTCTCGTCTATGCAACTGTCTATTCATTGCCTTTGCAACAAGAGAAATTCAAGGAACGACGTGTACCTTCGCGTACCGTGTGTCTTTGGTCAAGAACATCAAAGCTATCTCTCGTCTATGCAACTGTCTATTCTTCGTCTTTGCAACAAAAAAAATTCAAGGAACGACGTGCACCTTCGCGTCCCGTGTTTCCTTGGTCAAGAACGACTCGTCCCACCACTCGATCTCCACCAAATCCTGCCCGGCTTCTCGCAAGGCCGGCACCGCTTCCGCCGCTTCCTTCGCAGCCGCTGCCGCCGCCGCAGCCTTTGCAGCAACAGCCGCACTCTCGTCAGCCTGTTGCCACCAAAACAGGAAAACAGGCAAGAGAGACCAAGCAGAAGGGACAAAAGCCACTTTTGACATTCGTTACGGTGGACGTGTAGTTTCTACTTAATTGTATCATATCATAGGCCCCGGCAGTTTTGATTCCACGGTAGGCGTCCAACTCTAACCCCTCCTCCAAATATGGCTCATGCTCGATTCTTCCGACAAAAAGGTAACGTTTATGGCTAAACTGCCGTACTCCTCTCCTGGCGTTATTCAAAGCGCAACGATATGGAGTTGAAAAACACAAAACAAAAACGATGGTGGTAAGTGTTCAAGACACGTTTCCCGTGCTCAGCCGGTTAGCACGGTCGATGCCACCTCACACGCACCAACTGGGTACTTGTGCCTCTCCGCCCTTCATGAACGACGACAACTGCTGTGTGGCAGACCGGGGAACGTCAAAAAAAGATTGTTGGCACTGCTGATTTGACCCTGCAGTTTATCTCGCCGCACCTCCGCCTGTGCCGAGTAAACGGAGAGCGAGGAGCTCCCGGCCGTTGCACCGCCGCCGCCGCCGCCGCCGCCGGGGGGGTCCAGCTGCTCGGCATTGACGCGGCCCGACATCCTCCCCGACAGGAACTTGCGGTGCTCGCGGAAGCGGAGGTTGTCTCCCTGTACAGCAGTTGTCGTCAAGAAGATGAAAAAGGAGGACAGAGAAAAGACAAGAGACGAGAGGACAAAACGAGACGAGAGAAAAGAGGAGACAACACAGCGACAGAGAGAACGACAGAGAAGAGACAAGAGAAGAGAGAGAGAAGAGAAGGAGACAACAGAAGGAAACAAAGCACACGGGAACAAGAGCGGAAGAGAGTGAGCGCATGAGGAGACAAGCGGGGAAGAACCGAGCTGAAACGAGTTGTGCAGGCAGTCGATGCATTTCTTCGGGAACCAGCTGTGGTGTGGCTTGATACGGACGCGTTGTGGTAGCTGGCAAGTTTTCATGTTCGTGGCGAGCAAAGCACGAGCATTGGTTGCGGGAACAGGGTTCACGGCGATAGATATGTATCAGGATGGGTGATGACACGTGTATTCTATACCCCATGAATTTGCCCCGGAGAAAATGCCAAAATAAGGAAGGAACAAGAAGCGCCTTGGGGGCGATGCATGCATCTTTCGTGAGAAGAGAGCACTGGTGCGTAAACAGCAGAGCGCGGGAATAATGGAATAAATGGCTGGGTGGGCAGTTGGGGATAGTGCGGGATGTTACAGGCATTCTCGGATGAATGACAATCGGCCATGTGCTGCTACAAATGACAATTGCCATCGGGGTTGGGTTTTCGTCGCTTGGCGACGACGTTGTAAAACAAGCCGCCCCCCCCGGTGTTTGCCATCGGGATTGGGTTTTCGTCGCTTGGCAACGACGTTGTAAGACAAGCTAATTCACTTCGTGAGCTCGGCAACCATGTTACCGTTTTGTTTTTTTACCTTCGGTTTTTTTGTTGGCGGTAACCATACTGGTGGTCGAGTAGATCATGTTGTGCAGGGTGGAGAACCCTCGCTCCGCGCAAGGGGGATGATCGCACCACGTTGTGTTAAAATGGTCAAGCACCCTCGAGGCAGTTACACAGTGCTTACAATTGTCTCTGGAAGTGAAAGCACCAGAAAGTAAATTAAGTCATACGCAGCTGTCATCCGTACGCAAGGAAGTAAGCACAAGATGCCGAATACCCTTAGCAGGATGCAGCGCACCCTTCATGCGACTCGCCGAATATCTCACGGCGCTT